TTTTTTTTACAGTACATTAAGGCCAAATTAAATATAAAAAACATCTGTAACAATAAATGTGCGGGATCTGACTGGCAATCTGGTATTTGCCAGAGGGGCTGGCAAATATGAGAACACAGCTGACCTGATGTGATCTATGAGCTTCACAGTCTCAGCAAGCTCTCCTTTGAACATTATCTGTTACAAGGCAAAGCTCAGATGCCCCTGACTCTAGTTTCAGAATTGTTGTGTCACTTGTTAAACAGTGCCAAAATTTACGTCACTACCTTGTATCCTCGGCAACACTGCGTACAGAATGCCATAGGAATCTTATTTTCTTCTGGTGTAATTGGCCCAACACAGTTTGATAAAAGTATGCACAGAGCCTGAAGTCAAATCACAGGCATTCTCTGGAATAAACACGTTATCTTAGGAGAGATACTTTCTAAGAGGCTATTATGTACAAAGGTATGATGTTGGCAGGGCTTATATTATTTACTTAAAATCAAAGCAGGTAAGATACTGCGATATGGTTATTACATCATAGTCAGTACATTAAAGATACACCAGTTTGTATGGGATAGCTTTCTAGCCTACCCCCCTAAAGTGAAACTCTGGGCATTTTTTATCTCTGGCCAAAAAATGCCCCGTGATACGACAGGACACCTAACCACTATCCCTGTATAAGCTTGCTGGACATCCCTTTCCAAACCTCTGGGCATTAAAAGAGAAGTACAGCCAAAGCTCTTTTGCCTGTACTTCTCCTGTTCGTTCTGCACTCCTGTTACCCATTTAAGCTGACAGAGGGCTGAAGTCGTCGTCACTCAGCCGGTTCAGGTTGGGGAAAGATCCCGACTTCAAAATCAGGATGCACCCTAGAGTCTGGAGCGGCACCTGGCTCAGCCTCTCAATGATGTGCTGAGAGCATGAGCCAGACGCTCCCCCCCTCTACAGCCCAACGCTCCAGTGAATGCGCGCGGGGGTGGGGGGGGGGGGTGGCTCTGTTTAGAGTGGCTGTGAGACCTCAGCGGTCCTGTGATCACTGAGTTCTCACACTTGGAGCCAGCGAAGAAGACAGATGCAGCATTCACCTAGGTAAGTATCATTTAAAAAAAATAAATAAATACCATACTTCGCTTTTAATATTTAAAGGGCACAGACTAATTATGCTCTCTACATGGCATGGCTATTGTTGAGTCTTATGCTAACACCCCCCTTCCTTTTTCCCCTAGACCCCATGACTCCATCCCTCTTGCTTTTTTGTTTTCCTGGTGACAGAAACCAGCACCAAGCCTCAGAATTTCCTCCAGCTGGCAGCACTCACCACTTCCTGTCCTAGGGTGACAACACTGTACCACTATAGAGTCAGTAGAGCGAATGAGCGTTGTCACCTTATGACAAAAAGTGTGTTACTGGCAAATTCACTAGATGAAAATAAAGGAAAAAAAGCCAGGAAAAAAACCTAATGCAGCCACCGCATCTATGGGCTGGTAAACTACATTATATTACATTTTTGTTCTTGGGTTTAGATACAGTTTCAACAATCTTAAATATTAAAGGCCAACTCCAATCAAATCCATGTTGGTGGGCTGAATCACTTTAGTGCTCTCCAATGACATAATTTCTTTATATTATATAGTCTCACCACCTCCCACTCCCACTAGATAACAAATCAAAGCTGGATTATCTAATCATCTGTTTAATATGCTCAGTGAAGAATCCATTTCTGAACTGTGACGTCATCATGTGGTTTTGTATTGGCTGCAGTATTTGGGTGTAACCAGGATCTCTTCAATATTTCACCACTGGAATCCATCACAGGTAGCCAGCATATGACTCAACTTGCCAGCAACCAAGCATAAGCTTGGTATTTCATATTTGGGTGAAGTCCTGTATTTCGACTGGCAGGTAGGTACATGTCACTCCTCCTTTTCATAAAGTTTCTCATATTTCTCTCACACACACACACACACACACATATGGAGTTATTACTCCTAGTAATTTAGATTTTACCAGTGAAAGTCTAAACTCATTATTTTTTACTAAATCCTGACTTCAGAATGAAAAAAAGTAAACATCAGATGAATGGAGGAAGTCTTGGCAAGCCTGTTAGAAAGTGACCTAAGACCTTTTGTCTGCAGCAGATGTACGAGGCCCTGAAGCAGACAATGCTTCCCCCCTTTTCTGTCATTTCCCTAGAAGAGATCTGTGGCCAAGTCACACTAGGACACCAGTTCAATTAAGTTAAAACACAACACAGCCAAAACCTGACATTTTCACACAGGAAGCATGAGAGGTGGACGTGCTCTCCAACTCTACACTGACTTCTACTAGACGATAAAAAGTAATGATTTATTACCATTGAAACCCAACTCCAGCTTATACCCTATCACATCCAACAAGTATATGCTGCCAGCACACCATGGCTCCATATAACAGTCCAAAAATTTATGAAAGTGATCACATCACACAATAAGCGCGACAACAATGTTTCGTAGCCATGCTGGACCTCTTTGTCAGGCATGCAACATCATCACATGCCTGATAGAGAGGTGCAGCTCCAAAATGTTGCAGATTGTGATGTATTCCCTTTAATACATTTGTGGACTATTATAAGGATTTATGGAGTGCTGGCAATAAATAGGGGTTGATTTACAAAAACTGGAGAGTGCAAAATCTGGTGAAGCTGTGTATGGTAGCCAATCAGCTTCTAACTTCAGCTTATTCAATTAAGCTTTGACAAAAAAAACTGGAAGCTGATTGGTTTCTATGCACAGCTGCACCACATTTTGCACTCTCCAGTTTTAGTAACTCAACCCCATACTCTCTTCTATGTTAATATCAGTTAGGTTGTTGATGCAGCACCCTCATGCTAAAGGCTTTTCCCTAAACGTAGAGCAATGAAATATATAACTTGTGATATGGTCTATCACACCCAGACGTGTCACCAGGACAGGAAGTACGGATCTCTTTTTGGTTTTTAAGTAGGGAATGATTAATACCCTGATTTCTAGCATTCATGTCTTGCTGGGGAGATTTTTATTAACTTCCTGTTCTGTAAGAGGAAATCTCTCCAAAATGAGGGGAAATTCCCTCTTAGACAGTTGTCATCGAAACAAGTATCCCCAGTGAAAATATTCGTTTTTGTTTCTGTTTTGGTGACAACTCAAAATTTTGGTCAAAAGAACAAACTGACAGGGAAAACCTGCCCAGTGGGGACACAGACAACAATAAAAATCTGACTAGGGGTCTAACCCTTCAGTGCTCTATCCAAAAAAAAAAAATAAAAAAATTGGCTTTAGATATAAGAAAACAACCAATAAATAGTTGAGGTTCTAACTCTTCCCTACTCTATCTGAAACTAAAAAAAAGAAAAATGTTTCAGATGGATTTGAGCTTTAACTAGTCCATGACCATAAAGAGGAACTTAAATCCTCTTCTCCAGCACCACCATCTTTGTTAATCTGGCACATGCGCAGATGTGCAGAAGGGCTTTGTCTGACCTTCACATGTGTGATGGGGTTTCCAAGCATGAGCAGACGTAGCAAGATTTGGGACTTTGAAGCTCTGATGCACATCTGTGAACATGCAAAAACCTTAAGAATTAAAAAAAAATAATAATAATCACACCCAAAGGTGAAAGAGTGAGGGGGTATTAGACAGGATAATTTTTATTTATTTATTTTAGAATGAAGGTCCACTTTAATTATCCATGATGTCTGATGGTAAAAATTAAAAATATTCTAGACTAGCATGGAAATTTGTCCATATTGGCAGAGGATCCCACCTGTACTTAGCTACCACATGGCTGTAAGGGCTTGTTCACACTTGACTGTTTCTCCAACTCTTGTCAAACCCCCCTATAGTGTTTGACAAGCGTTTTACCGGCGCGGTTTACCGGCGTTTGCTAGGCGTTTGCAAAGCGTTAAAAACGCCCCACAAACGCCTATAATGATGTTTGAATGGTGTTACCGCTCTGCAAACGTCCCGCAACCGCAAACGCCGGCCGGGCGTTTGCAGAGCGGCAACATAGACTTGAATAGGAGGCTTCAACTCCTCCTGACTCGACCAGAGGTCCGTTTTGCCGCGAGGCAACGCGACGCTAACGCTCCCGTGTGAACAGCACCATGTGCTGCAATGTGCAGAATTTTCCCAGGCATTTGGGAAGCGGTAAAAACGCTTCCAAATGCCTGTCTGCCGCTTGCAAACAAGGCTAGTGTGAACGTAGCCTAAGAAAAGAGAAAATATTGAATAGCCTTTCAGAAGAACTGGATCTTCCCAAAAGTTTGATTGTGTTTTTAAATGCATGATGTATAAGCAGCTACTAATAATTATAAAAAAACATAATTGTGTTATTGTACAATGTTGATCCAATGAGTTATCCAATTGCCTTTGGGGATCAGGAAGGATTTTTTCTCTGTAACAGCAAATTAGACAAAGCTTTATAAGGGTTTGTTTTTGCCTTCCTGTGGATCAGCTCTGGATTTAGTGTTCTCAAGGATGAGAAGTTTATTTTGGGTTGAACTTGATGGACATGTTTTTTTTTTTCAACCTATTAAGTATCATGGACCTTTCAAGAAGCTGTGCAAGTACACATGGGCATAGTAAAGATTACCTAAATATTGTATTTTTTGTACTCCTTGCTTACATTAAATGTGCCAGAATATATTGTATTTACTATTTTAAAGTGAATTTTTTTATGTTTGGCTTCAGTACAATCTGAGTTACTGATTCAGAACATGTAGACTGGTCAGGATTTCTGGCTTTGCTTTGCCTTCACTGGTTGCATGCTTCCTCCTGGTCCAGGCATCTCGCATGTTCTGAAAAAGGTTAGGAATGGTAGTCTCCACATCAATGTCAGTACAGGTTTACTGTAAGTCAAGGCTTGGCCGTCATATGCAAAAGAAAACTAAAAACAAAAAGCTTAATATATAAACTACTAACAATACCCATACCAATAAATTTGGGTAACATGTGCAGTTCTTGTTGCAGGAGCGCGCTCATAAATCATTTTCAATCCATTATGAAAAAAAAACAAATTGCTTGCACAAAATTATACATTTATAAATTATACATTTAAGGAAAGTAAAAATGGAAAACCCCAATGCTGAAGTCGTACCTGTAGCATTCGACAATGCAAGTGACTCCATAGAACCTCTGGGAGTTTGTTCTGTTGGGGTTAACCCCTCAGTGAATTTGAGTGCATTGATTGGATGCCTTGTTCGACACTGCTGTGAATTCAGATTTTTGTTTTCTGGAACTCGTAGACTTGATCGTGCTTCATTAAAACTGTGAGTGGAAGTATCGCTAAAGCTTTCCTGCTGGCGTAGTCTCCCTTGATAGTAATCCTCTCTGCCATCTTGATTGAAGCTCTCGCTGTGACTCATCATCGACAAACTTCTTTTTTGGTTACTAAAATGCTTTGCCCACATGTCTGGCTGGGCGCCGGCTCCCTGTCCAGGACTGTAGGAAGTCCTTATGTTGCACTGGCTGAGAAGCTGCAGAGGACTCTGGGATTGACTCCTCTCTAGCTTGTTGCCATAATTATAGAGTTCATCTCTGCTCCTCCATCTCTGATCACGGTTCAAGCTTGGGTTTTGGCTTGATACGCTCAGTAAATCCATCTGTAAAGAGAGAGGGTCGACGTCTGTGGAAAGTCTATTGGTAGTTACATGTAGTTGGTTCATGTTGTTGTCTTCGAGTTTAGCTTTATTCTTGCCTATCTTAGCGCTACGACGCGACTCCTTTGCCCTGGCATTTTGAAATGCTGAATCTGAAGAGTCTGAGCCATTGGGGTCCTCACCCAAACTGCATGCTCTTGAGCAGAATATCTGGCCTTGCTTGGGCAAAAAGGGGCGCCCAAGTAGTGATTTTTTACAGTGGGCACAACAAAAGCAAGTTTCTGTAGCATGCCAGTGTTGCCCATCATAGGTCATCTGTCCTTGGTCAATACCTGTGAAAAAAGAGATAAGACTCTTTCAGATTAAGAATTTGAGGGGTTTCTAAACCAAAGAGCTAATAGAAAAAGTTCAACAAATGATTTGTTATTCAAATTGTTGTAACACAATATCATAACATCCCATAGATCCAACTATTTAATACAAACATCTCTGTTCAATGCATCAGATATCAAGGGATTATACACTCATTATGAAAGACCTCTTAGAATTTTTGATAAATACTATAATAAGATCCTTACACTGGAGTTCCTAACTCACTTGTATCACCTGTCTTGCTGCAGCACTCTTCCTGTTCTACTGCCAATAATAACCTTAGAAAGAGGGAGTCTAACCCCAAAACATAGGGAAAGAAATAAAAATTCAGGACAGACCTTAACTCAAAAAGTGAAAATTTGCTATCTTATAGGAAACATCTAAAAATGTGAATCGTGCCTAAGTAGTACCATGGAAAATGTACATTTTACCTTGAATTCCAGCTGAAAATAGAAGTGCATTTTCTGTGCCTAGGCACCTCTATGCTCTGAGCATTTGATGCATATATGTAGCATGAGATCATCTAACGCACTGCTGCCTCTATTAGTCTAAGGAGATATAGTGTGAGATTAGATTATGTCACTCTTGTGTCACTGTTGTCCTTGCTGGGGAGGAAACTGTATCTGAGGACCTGTAACGTAAGGATCTCACTGCGTCTACTTTATTCATTCTATGGATCTACAAGAATAGCCACTTCCACACAGAGACACACTGAAGAACAAGGCATGGCAAGTCAGTAATAAGGAAAAGATCAGCTGCTGGGAGCCTACAGGCAATAATAGTGGGCTCCAAGGTATCTGGGTGGAGCTTACATAGAGCCAAGGATTTTACCAATGCCCCAACTTTGTTTGATGCATTCTTTTTAGCTAATGGAAACTATCCCTGCCATAAAATAGCCAGTTGGTTAAGTTGGCATCCCAGGCTAAAATTTTCCAGTCTTCCCCCTGGTCAGAAGGGAGCAGTGTCCTGCATAGCAACTTATTTCTCCAGTTAATGATTGGTAAAATCCTGCTGTAAATCCCAAGTACAGACAGAAAACCCATCAACACTGCAGGGCCTTTATTTTTGCACTGTGGTGACTGGAGCTTTGATTTTTCACCAAACTCCTTAGCAGCATGCTGTTACAACTGAGTAAAGCATATTTCATCCTCCTGAAGCTATATCACCCGTTCCCAGGAGCTGTTTGGCTGCAAGCTGTAGAATATGTCTCGGCTATGTGTGATGAATGGGGAGGAAATTCTCCATCATATGTTAAATAGGGCCATGGAGGAAAAGTCTGGGAAAGACTAAATGCTGTGTTTTACCATCCTGGTTCACAGATGAAAATTTTACGTTGTATAAGCATGGGAGACATTTACAACAATACTTAGAACAAATGTAAATATCTATCCATTAATCTAGCTACACAATCCTTCATAGATTAACCTGATTCAAGATCAGGACATTGCTTTAAAATACAAAAAAAAGTAAATTTACTACCCAATAACTATTTTACACTTTCACCTTTGCCTGTAACAAGACAATTAGATCTCCAAATTTCTTTTTACCCTCCCTTTTGTTGTAACAATAGATTTTATTTATTACAGGTACTTATATAGCATCGTCCGTTTTATGCAGTGCTTTACATTGATATATTGTACATTAACATCAGTCCCTAACCCTCAAGGAGCTTACAATTTAAGGTCCCTCACATTCATACATACACATACTAAAGCTATTCATTCAATCAAGAACATCTGATGATGGAAAGGAATTACTGGGGGCATGGTGCCATAGTGAGTATTGCAACCAGAGCAGTTTTTTTGTTTAAAACCTAGTGTGTTTTAAAAACAAAATAACAGCATTTGGCTTTAAGTTGACTAAATACAATGTATAGAAATCTTGGCCAATATTGCCTGGCTAATACTCATTGGGGGAAATTTGATTGTCTAAACCAGTGGTGTCCAAACTGCAGTCCTTGAGGCATTATTCCTGCCACTGGCACCCACAATGGGGCATAATTCATATCAAATGACACCAACAATGGGGCACTATTCTTTCCACTGAAATCAATGATGGGGTATAATTCCTTCCAATGGGGAACTATTAATCCCACTGGCACCAGCTATTTCTCCCCCTAATACCAAAGATCGGGCAGTGTTAACTTCCACTGGGCAGAGCCACCCCGCTAAAGTCTGAAGGACAATAAACTGGCCCTTTCTTTGGAAAGTTTAGGGACCCCTGGTCTAAACGCTGTCGTACAGCCCAATGTTAATTATCCCCCCCTCTATGGGCATAAACAGCTCGACAGATAAACCTTGCTTGATTGTTTGAAAAGTGGCTAACTGATTAGCACTTTCACCTGGCCGCACTAGGGTTGTTGGTTCGAATCCCAACCAACGGAACCACCTGCCTGGAGTTTGCATGTTCTCCCTGTGCTTGCGTGGGTTTCCTTCCAGACATGTTGGTAGGGGGACACTGCAGATCATGTGACCGGCCTGAAGACTAAAAAGTATGCAAAGAAAAAAAAACAGTGGGAGAGGATCCTGGAGTTGAGCTTTAAAGCTAAACTCCAGGCTATTAAACAAACCCTCTGACATAGAAGACTGCATTTCAACTGTGTACTTAGCTGTTTGCTTGGAGATCAGAGTTAAGTGACAGCATTTCAAAAGGAGGAGCAGGTGAACCCTTACTGCATCAAGGCTGTTCTAGCAGGTGAGGCACAATTCCTAGTCCGGGCAGACATGGATGGACAAAAAAGCAAGGATATGAACCCTGTGGCAATCCACAAAAAAAATATGGGTAGGGTTCTCCATTAATATAAACATGTACTTTGCCAGTTCTATGAAAAAAATCTCCATTCCAGGTGTGTTTGCTTTATAGAGATTATCTGCCAGCAAGAACTTTTCAGAATTAATTGCAGATAACATCTAGAGTATTGGAAAACAGTGACAGGTCGTCCAGCATGGAAGCAGCCATCATACATCCAGCTGAAATATTACAGAGACATGCAAACTTTTTTTTCCTCCCTTACTTTTTTCCAACAACTGGCAACCATATGCCCTGCAGATAAGACGTCTGACAGCATTTCTCGCTAATAAAGAAAAGCAAGAGCAGGATGTAAAGGATACTTCCAAAAAACACAGATGGGAAAGTGTTTTTCAAAGGAAAAATCAACAATAGAGCACACTGTGAAAATGACTGGAGGTGACACTTAGAAATGTGAGCAATTACTGTTTAGCAGGAGAGACCTGAGATCAAAGGAAGTTTATAGATGCTGCACCAAGTACAGAGCACACAGGCTGGGTGGGCCAAATGATTCCTATTTATCCTGAGTATTTCTCTCAAAACCCAATATGCCTAAACTGCCTCCTAGGACCCAAACAAGTATACAAGATCCGGGGAACTTGGCCATGCTTTTACGCAATAGCCCTTGCTTGTTGTTACAAGGCTTTTTTCTTTCGGTGCCATTTTTCAAAGCAGTCGCTGTTTGTGTGGCAGAGCTGCTTTTGCTGTTTATTCACAACTGTCAATTTAGACTCTGACAAAATGGCAGCTGTCACAGGTAGAAACTAATGTGAAACACAAGTTCTCCTACACAAGAGATCTGCAAAAAAAGACATTAACAAACATGCACAAAGATATTTTCTTTCCTGTAGCAAAGGTAAGTTATTATGGACTACATATGCTTCATTATAATACTCGGGCCTTCTGGTATGGTATGCGTGCTCAGGCCTGAGAGGCCATTGTCCAGGCCCAAACACTGTCACCAGACCAGGAGGAGGAAGATATTAACCTTGTGCAAGCTCCAACAAGGAAATTACACATAACTTGGATTCTTGTCTCCAGTGGAAGTACATAGTATGATGGGTAGAAGCAGATGAAGTGGATGGCGGGAATGGCTATTCTTTCAAAAGAACCTGCTGATTTGCCCCACATGGGTAAAGCAAATCTGTACTAAAATAAATGTGGAGTCTGGCCTCTATTTGAAAATGCAAGCTGCCTTTCTGTGGTTTCAGAACGTTCTGAGCCATTGTTTTGGAACAAGCCTACATACTCCTCTTAGTAAATGTCTCCTTTAATGCTGGCTAGAGGTTTTATAAGGCTGTGGCTGGATATACATAACTAGTGATGTTCAAGCAGTGTGGAGGCAAACACACACAATGGGGTTGATTTACTAAAACTGAAGGGTGCAAAATATGGTGCAGCTGTGCATGGTAGCCAATTCAATTCTAACTTCAGCTTTGACAAAAAAACCTGGAAGCTGATTGGTTTCTGTGCTGAGCTGCACCAGACTTTGTACTCTACAGTTTTAGTAAATCAACCCCAATGCACTCATATGAAAGAAAGAAACAACACAAGACCAAAGCATAGAATACACTGCTCAAAAAAACTAAAGGAACACTTTAAAAACACTTCAGCTCTCAATGGGGAAAAATATCATGCTGGATATCTATACTGATATGGACTGGGTAAGGTGTTAGGAACGTAAGGATGCCCCATCATTTGATGGAAATGAAAATGATCAACCTACAGAGGACTGAATTCAAAGACACCCTGAATATCAAAGTGAAAAAATGATGCAGCAGGCTAGTCCATTTTGCTGAAATTTCACTGCAGCAACTCAAAATGGTACTCAGTAGTTTGTATGGCCCCCCATGTACTTGTGTGCATGCCTGACAACGTCGGGGCATGCTCCTAATGAGACGACGGATGGTGTCCTGGGGTATTTTCCTTCCTAGATCTGGATCGGCATCACTGAGGTCCTGGACAGTCTGAGGTGCAACCTGGCGGCATCAGATGGACCAAAACATGATATTCCGGAGGTGTTCTATTGCATTTAAGCCAGGCGAGCAGGGGTCCATTCAATGGTATTTATTCCTTTATCCTCCAGGAACTGCCTACATACTCTCGCCACAAGAGGCCAGGCATTGTCGTGTACCAGGAGGAATCTAGGACCCACAGCACCAGCGTAGGGTCT